TATATATATATATATATGTATACATATATATATATACTCAAAAAAGCAGACAGTTTGGTTAGAGAAAATAAATATTAGCTTGAACCTCTTTCAAAAATTCACATTGAACAAGAAGATACAGACTTTGGGGGAGAATCCCACCAATATATACTTGTCAGTATTTTTAACTTTTTCTTTCTCATAATCTGCAGGGTAAGATCTAAAATTCTGTGAAAGAGGCTCTTATATAAATTATTCAAATTACCATAAATTAAGTTAGGGCAGCCAGAAAAATGATGTGGGTTAATACACAGCTGAGAAAACACATAAATGTGTAGAGGACATTTTGCTACTTTAGCCTTTTCCAAAGTGAATAGATTTCAATAACAGAGTCATTGCTTGTTAAGGTCTAAGAAGGGGATTTTATTCATCATATGGGTCCAATATTATGGTGCATGGCACATTAGTTAAATGTTATTGATTTGCAAAACTAAAACATAATGGGTAAGCAGTGTGCCATATTCCCAACTGAATATGCAAATATTGTAGCCATCTGATGAAAATCAGTCTTTAACCTTGAGAATTTAATGAAGGAGTCTCTGAAAAATCACTGAAGGCAGCACACGCTCTCACTGAAGAGTAGGACATTCGGGCAGAGTTTGAGACCACTGGTGAGAGGTCTCTTTTACTGTGGTCACAGTAGTCTCAAAAAGATGTTTAGAAGGAAGCCAAAGCCCAACTCCCCATTTTTTGTGGGACAGTTGAGTTTTTTAAATGGTCTCCTAAGCTCGATACATGGCAGTTTCTTTTAGCCCAGGTATGTAGATGAGGGAAGAGTTGAAGGCTGTGCAGGGAATTTATAAGGGGAAAGCTCAGACTCAGGAAAATATAAAAAGTCCCAGCCATTACTTTAAAGGTGGAAGTAAAGGATATGGTACACAACTGTTTCAGCAAACCCAAAGCGCAATCAAACCTGTTTATAACATGTGAATTATATAGAAATACTGAAATACCGTCTGAAAGAATTTAGATGAAAACTGTATGACTGTGAAGACAAATATCATTGTCATTCTTTACATGAAAACCCCATTAAAAATATGTAAACAGATCCATTATTGATCTGTACTCAGGGTAACCCCCATATACCAAGTCCTGTAAAAATAACCCCCCACCCAACTGTTTCTGGGATATAAGTCTTCATAATGCAAGATCTAACACATATTAGACACATTGATATTTCACAACAATCCTGTGAGATAAACACTACTATGATCTCCAGTTTACATATGAATCAACGAAGCCTAGAACATTCCAGAGGTCACTCAAGGTCATTCTGCTCTCAAGGTCAGAGTGAGGATTTGAAGATAGGCAGTCTGGCTCCAGAACACATGTGCTTAACCATCAGGCCATATTGCCTGTTAACACTTCTGTGAAGCTGAGACAGCTGAACTATTCTATTATAGCATGCATGTAAATCCAACCTACCCAGACTGCTCTGCCTGGAGATACCGCTGGTAACAAGCAGTCATTTGCAAAAGCTGTTTTCAGTAAAACACACATTTTATCTTGACACTGCAGGCCTTCATTAAACCATGCACAGAAACTTGTTTTGAAATAACCCAATGAAATTCTGCCCCTTTTCTCCCTAATTGCTTCTAATAATAAAGTTAGTTCTAACTGGCCCCACTGCCACCACAACATCTGATGGTAATGAGCAGTTCTTGGCGGAAGGCATTGTGACTTAAATACCTACAGTTTATCTTTATGTTGCAGGCTACCTTTTTTTCCCCACCTCAGACAGAGGAACTTATTTTGAAGTTACTAAATGAACCTCTGTTTGCTCCCTTTATTAATTACTTTTTGCTCTTGCAAGTTAGCTTTCTCCGTTGTTAAATGGCCTAAGGAGGCCAATTAAAATGCTGTCTTGTGATTTTTATTCTGTGGTGGTTCAGTCTGTACCCAAACTTGTGATGACCTGCATAAGCCAATATTGAGGAGTCTCAACATCATCAATCTGAACATACAAATGAGCCCTGGCCCGCAAGGCCCCAAAGCCCTTCATTCCCCAGTCTAAAATGCTTGAGAATAAATGACCAAATGCAACCGAGAAATCTAGCAAAGCACTGGTCCCCCAAATCATCTCACCTGCTCTTCCATCTTCTCCCTCACATCCTCCCACCTCACTTTTTCCCTATCCAGTTGCTGTTTCACCTAAAGTCTAGGTTTCCAGGCGTTCCTGGATTCACAACTAAGAACTTGGATTGAGTTTATCTAAATAGTGGTTAATTGTTACTGAAATACATAGCTTTATACTTTAGGAACTCTGTGGGTTATGTGGGCTGATCTGGGGACTCAGTGAATTTTCAATTTCAAAGCAGATGTTTGAACTAGTCTGGCTTTATTTGGGGACTGCTTGTAGTCTCCCCCATAAAGAGAGGTGGTCCAGGTGGTTGAAACAAATCACCTCTCCAAGGGCTGAAGCCTGAAGTGTCATTATTTGGAAGAAGGCTCAGATTCTTGAAATAATATTCACACACACACCCCTTGGTATATAGAAAAATAAAGTGTGTGTATGTGTGTTTGTGTGCATGTGTGTGTAAACACTTCTGTGTACTGCAGAATACTTGTATGGAGGAGTACATGTTGACTGGAGATTTGGTGATGGGGGAGAGAGAAGAGGAAAGGGAAGAGAGGACAGATGATATTTCACAAGACTGCCTGGGGATACCACCATCAAAGAGAAGGGAATTATATGACACAGTCCTAAATAGGGGTGCCTTGCAGTCAGATGTCTGGGTTTAGATCCCAGCTATAGTGCTTACTAGGTGTTTGACAGTGAACATGTTACTAGGATCCCTGAAATGAGACTGAAAGTCTCATTTGTCCTTTTTAAATTACATAGGATTATTGTGGGTATTAACCAAGGTAAGGAATCTCATCTGTTAGGGTTTGGTTGAGACAGAGAGCTGGGAAGATGTACCAGTACAACCTCAGTTTCCCCTAAAGCTGCTCTCAAATAATTCAGTTTTTGTTCCCAAATGCAATGTGTTTGTTTCTCTGTGGCTGATAGTGAATCCTGACCAGCCTCATAGAGTCACTGCTCATGATGAATTCTGCCCACTGTTCCCAGTGTAACACCCATGTACTGTGACCAAACAGAGCTCACAACATGGGCTTCTTTTGCACTTGCCTTCCCCAGGACAGAATCTCCAGACACTGATGCAGGGAATTGTTAATCAGTCTGCACATGGACCACAAGGACATTCTGACTGCAGCTTCCACTGCAACCATATCTTGAAGCAATAGAATATGAAAATAGTAATATCAACATGAATTACATGTAGTAATAATTGTCACTAAAGATAATATATTTTTGATACCACGTTTACTTTTGATTCAGTTTTGCATTACCCCTCCCCATTCTCTTACTTACTTGACGGTGCTAGGGAATTGCCCCCTTAGTACCTATGTCCTGTGTTTTCTAGCTTTGTGCTTTGCCTCTCACTCAGGCCTTTGGATGATAAAGCAGCAGTGCTTAAACCTTTGCCAAGTTAGAACAGCTCACTCACACAAAAGGCTCTTGGGTTCATTAACATGTATTAGAAGTTTCACTAGCCTTTTGTTAAAGAACTGACCATTCTTAGCATTTCCTTTGCTAAAGAAGCCCTTCCAAGTGTGATGACTTAGGACTCAAATTGGTCTTTTGGAAACTTAAGTTCTTTGTTTTCAAACACTCCCCCTCAAATGTGGCCTTACAAGAATTCTAAACTTAACTGAGAAGACTGTTTGCATAGTGTGTGCATTCAGCTATCAAACCCTGAAGAGAGAATGTGTACATTGAATATTTTCTGTGTTTCATTTGGATAAATAAACAAAACAAAATATAAGGCTATAAACTAGACTTTGAAAGTAAAGTACGATTGCTGCCTGAAAACGCACAGATCAGTTTAAAGCCTTGTAGAATGTGCTGTGTGACATGAGATACTGTTAGTAGGTCTTATTCTACAATTTCCATCTTTTTTGCCAAATCCTCTCAAGTTCTGCATAGTTCATTGATTCTGTAGCGAGTCATTCTCTTGTGCCCTAGAATGTGGTCTCTAATTGTTTCCATGTTTCATAACATGCCAGTAAGCACATGAATTAGTTTGGGCAACCACATGGAGGGAAGAAAATTTTCGGAAAAAATGAAGCACTAGTAGGAGAGTAAATGTATACAGCTGGGATTTCCACTCCAAGGGTATTATTTGTGGGCAAGTAAGACACATGGTTGGCAGCCTGGTTTGAACCATTGGAGGTTCCAAGGTAGGATTTGCCATGGTGACTCCTGGCCCAGGAACCTCTATTATTTAGTGAGCGATTGTCTGTTTCTTTCCCCTCCTTCATCTATTTGCTTTTGGCTGTTCCTCTTCTACTTTGTTTCCCATCCTAAGGAATACAAGACAGAGGGAATGTGCAATCCTCATGCTTAACAAATTCTTCAACAGCCTTGATTAGAGTTACAAGCTGAAACAGCTTAACCAAGGTTAAGGGATAGCTGACTTTCTTTTGTCCTCACCAGCTTGCCCTTACTCACTGCCCATGGTTAAGGCTCACTGATGCTTCTGTTGTCTTGCAAGCTTTCTAATGGGAGCTGAATCACTTAAGGTGCTATTATTGTGGTATTGTGCTTTGATTAGTGCTATAAATGTTGAGGATAAGGAGTGAAATTTTGACCTTCAACAAAAGGGACATGATTTGAACTGCCATTCAGTGTGG